AAAGAGCAACTGGTGATGACATGTAGGCTTTCCTCTCACGGTGCTGTAAAGGTCAGAAGCCGTGTCTGATGTGAAAGGAGTATGGTTTACTGTAGTTCTTCTGTGTAAACACCACTGACTTGACTGTCAGACTGTCCGGGCTTACCTACTAGCTGCAGGACCTTGAGCAAGTGTGACACTCTGTCCCTTTGCTCATAGGATTGTCATGAGGATGAAGTGATTTTTTTTTTTTTAAAGAATAATTATTAACTTATTATTTTTTTAATTTGCTATAGGGCACAAGTGCATGTGCATGCGACAGAGAGAGAGAAAGCCTCCAGGTCCCAGGTTCAAACTGTAGTTGGCAACGTGGGAGTCTAGTATCTTAACCACCATGCCACCTGCTGGCCCCAAAGTGAATGTCTTGATGCTAGTGAGCGTTGATACTTTAATAATCTTATTTATAAATAATCAGTTGAATTATTGTCCCTGCTGGTGTCTGGTTTTTCAAGCATGACCATTTTCCATAGAGGGTGCTTTCTCATTTTTCTTCTTTTTCTCTCTCTGCTTCTTTCCACTCTCTAGCAAATTTAAAAAGCACATATATGATCTATGTCAGTAAACGTTTCTTAAGCACATAATGACACTAAATTCTGGTGAAAAAATGAGTATTCTCATGATTGTGGTGAAATAATATGCATGCTTCTATCATTGGATGAGGCATTCTGTAAATCTCAGGTCAAGTTAGTGTTTAAGGCTTCCATATCTTTAGTAATTATTTATTTAAGTATTGTGTCATTTATTGAGACAGGGGTATTGAAATCTTCAAGTGTTTAACTGTGGGTTTGTCTGTCTTTCCTAGCAGTTTGATCAGTTTTTGTTTCATCTGTTTTAAAGTGCTATAATTACGTGAAAAACATTTAAGGTTTATATGTTCATGATAAATTTGACCCCTTTATTGTTATGAAATTGTCTTTATGATCCCTGGTGATACTGCTTCCTCTGAAATCTACTGTGTCTGATTTAATATACACATTCAGCTTTGTTTTATTAGTGTTAGAACAGTATGTATCTTTCCCCTACTTTTTACCTACTCATGTCTGTATGTTTAAAGTGAGTTTCTTCAGGCAGCATATAGTTAGGTTTTGCTTCCCCCCCTCATCTGATGATCTATGCCGTATGTTAGTTTCTATTGCTCTTGTAACAAAATACTACAAACTGAGTAACTTGAAATGGCAAAAATATATTCTCTTATAGTCCTGGGGGTTAGAAGTCTAAAATCAAGGACTCCTAAGCCGAGTTCCTTCTAGAGGCTTGAGGGCAGAATTTGTTTCTTCCTAGTTTCTAGAGAGGTAATGAGCCTCTTGTTTCTAAGTCCTACTGTTCATTCTGATCCTTCTGCTGCTCTCTTATGTGGACCCTGGTGATTATGTTGGGCCTACCTGGACAATTCAAGATAACCTCAAGATCTTTGACTTCCTTTTTTAAAGTTTATCTATTTTATGAGAGAGAGCAAGAGAAGCTCCCTCAACAGTTTCTCACGCCACAGTCCTCCCTCCAGCCGGCCCAGCTAGCCAGGTTCACAGGCACACGTATGTAACGCCCAGTGTGTTCAACCCCGGAATCGAACACTGATCTTCCATATGGTTCCAGCATTGCAGAATGGTGTACTGCCACTGTGCCACCACTGCTGGGCCTCTGGGTCTTTTACTTAGTTCCATTTGGAAAATCTCATTTATCGTGTCAGGTGACATAGTCGCAGAGTTCAGAGATTAGGGTGCTAACCTGTTTGGAGGACCATTGTTCAGCCTGCCATGCAGCTGATTATCCGTAATTCTTCGTTTTGTTATTTTGGTGGCTCACTGAAGGCTTATATTGTACATCATTTAACATATCACAGTCTGTCTTCAAGTAGTATCATCCCATGTCCTAGATAGATACAAATCTTACCAGCTTGCTTCTGCCAGGCCTCTGTGCTGCTGTTGCCATACATTTTACTTCATCGTATGTTATAAAGCACACTAAACA